ATTACAGTAACTGACAGTATATTCCAATGTGTGTTTTCTGTATATTCTGTTGTTTGGTTTTTGAACTTTTCTCTTCTAGTGCTTTTCATCTACTGTACGATCTCTTTACAGTAGTGTAACGAAAGAAAACTTCTTAAAGTTTATTGCTGAATTTGACTGTATTTGCATCCCTCTATTTATGTCGTATACTGTAACAGACATTGACTAGCAAAAGGATTCCTATTTCCCAAAAGGAGGTTTTTGTTACAGTGTTTTGAATTGATCTCACTAGTGTTCTCTAGTCAGTAAAATAGTCTGTGTATTTGACAGGTTTGTGTATCATCTGAGGCCAAAGTTTGAGTCTGACAAAAGAGAACATGTTTTTGACTAAACTATTTGATTTTGAACTGGAAGTTTGAAGTTTGCACAAGTTGGTGTGTAGTTTTGAGATTGTGTTTATAGTTGTGAGAAAATGGTGAATTGTTTCATGAATTGTGTGTTAGCAATCGAGAAAAACTGTAATATAATATATTGACTTACTTTTTTTTATATATTTAGTCATTTAAAAACAGTATCGTTCTCTACATATATGTGTGTCTAGCATTCAAAAGTTTGGGGTTAGTAAGATTTTTAAAAGTTTTTGAAAAGTCTCCTTTTTCTCACCAAGGCTGCATTATTTGATCAAAAATACAGTAAAAGCAGTAATATTGTTACAATTTAAAATAACTACTCTATTACAATATATTTTATGATGCAATTTATTCCTTCTTATTATCAATATTAAATAATGCACTTTTTATTATTTTTGTGGAAACTGTGGTACATTTTTTGGGAATCTTTAATGACTAGAAAGAACAGCATTTATTTTAAATAAACATTTTGTAACTCTATAAATGCCTTTATTGTCAGTTTTGATCATTGTATTAAAATTATTAATTTATTTTAAAACAATCTTAGAAAGATCCGAATGTTTTTGAAAGAAATACTTTTATTCACTAAGATGCATTAAATGATACCATTTGTTTATATTGATTTAACTTAATAAGTATATACAATTGAAAATGACATTTTAATTGTTTTGTTGTATATATATTTTTCTTTTACTTTTTTTTTTTTATTACATGAATTGGTTTGTGCAGGCTTCACTGTGACAACATAACCCATCTGTGACATGGCCCACTACTGTGACAACTATAACACTGGTTTCCCACATAGTGGAAAGAAATGTATTCCTTCAGGCTAGGAAATGACAAAAACAAAAAGATGGCTGAAATGAAGAAAGAGAGTTTCTTAGCACTATATCTTCAGGGCAGATTTATAAATGATCTCAATACATAAGGGTTAAAAAGAGAAGTTCCTCAGGAAGCACTTCCTCTCTGTATATAAACAGAACAAACAGCCCCCAATGCAATAATGCCACACATTACTACTAAGCTCAGGGCTACAGAGGCATTCAGGCCCTCTCGCTCAATATCCAACACTAAATGCAATCCAATTCAATTTACAAAGGCAGACAAAACACACACTAAACCGATTCTCTCTGCTGAATGTTCCATTAAACATGGCCACAGAAAGACACAAGCATGAAAAAATGCTCTAACTGTATTGGGATAGAAATAACCAGCATCATGCTGCTTCTTTAGGGCCACGTGAGGAAGGAATTATCCCGTTCGACACACTTTCACACTCATGGATAAACAAGGGATAAAACAGAGAGAGCTGTACACAGGAAACTTTACTTTTCTGTTTCTAAGGAATCAAAGGAATACGTCAGTTAAGTAAATTATCAAACGACCACATAACATTATGCACTGAATGCAGAAGCTAAACAGGTCAGGAACACATGTAATGCACACTGTCCTTACATAGAGAGGTAAATGTTGAGTAACGCTTTATTTTAAAGGAATATTTCACCCAAAAAAGAAAATTTGCTGATAATGTATTCACTCTCAGGTCATCCAAGATATGGATGAATTTGTTCCTTCATCTGAACAGATTTGGAGAAGTTTGTCATTACATCACTTGCTCACCAGTGGATCCTTTGCAGTGAATGGGTGCCGTCAGCATGAGTCTCCAAACAGCTCATAAAAAAAACATCACAATAATCCATAAAAATATAAGTAATCCACAAGCTGCGTGTTAGTAATAAATCCATCATTAAGAAGGTTTTAACTTCAATCAATTGTCGGTGGATTTTGATGTGAAAGGACAACAGGGGATGGACTTTTTATTTACTATAGGAAGCGTTATTACAGATTATGGACTCATATTGTGGCCAGAAGCAATGGTTTAAAGTTAAAACACCTTAAGGATGGATTTGTTTCTTACAAACATGCAGCTTTTCACTTCACAAGATGTTAACTGATGGACTGGAGTTGTGTGGATTATTGTTTTGTTTTTATCAGCTTGTTGGACTCTCATTCTGACGGCACCCATTCACTGCAGAGGATCCATTGTTGAGCAAGTGATGTAATGCTAAATTTCTCCAAATCTACTCAGATGAAGAAACAAACTCATCTACATCTTGTAAATTTTCAGCAAGTTCTAATTTTTTGATGAACTATTCCTTTAAGGTGATGTAGACTTTTTGTCATAATTATTATACCAAAGCATGATTTTTTTTCTTGTGTGATAGAAATGGGCTTCCATATTAGTTAAACCCATCCATTCAGCAACTGTATCTACTTTGTTTAATGTTTTTAAAAGTTTTATTTAATAACCCTGCCTTTTTTTTAGACATCAAGCACTGAGAGTGAAGCACTAGGGATAAATTCAAGCCAAAGCCAAAGTTCAAAGCCTGAATAGTTCTGTTCCAAAAGATAAGTGAACGTCTCACATAAATAGATACTAAATAATGATGTGATGAAACACCCTCTTTAAAACATCCTTTTAACAGATGATGCAATTTGTAGCCATGACTGTGAATACGTGCCTCCGGACACATCTCTGTAGAGGAGCAGATGCACAGTGGACACTTAAAGAAGAAATATTATAATAAACAGACAAAAAAGAGGGAACAAGGCTACTACAGTTCTTCCAGGCAATGAGTCACTAAACTAGATCAACACTTATTCAATCCAGGGCTCTCCATTAACTTTATCCAGGGCTCTGAGACTTGAACCACAGCAATACAGTCCACAACAGCATAAAACATTATAATACACCTGTTGTTACAAAACAGTTTGCAAAGACAATGTTTATATTTAACAGATACAAATGCAAAATGGACGGTCTAACTCCTGCAGGGCCACTGTCCTGCAAAGCTTAGCTCCAACCCTGAAACAACTAATCAGTGTCTTCAGGCAACTTAAAAAAATGTCAATAAGGTGAAGCTAAACTCAGATGCTGTAGTCAAATTTGACAAAATTATTATGAACCCATCACGTTTCAGGACTTCATCATCTCTTTAACAATGAAGTTTCAGCGACATCTAGTGTCCAGCCTTAAAAGCACATGCATTTTGCTGGGGCCACACTGAATTTATTTGATATTTATTTGAGATGATTTTCTCCCAAGGAATACAAATGAAGAAACAAATGAACATTCACTAAAAACATACAGCTATATACTGTAGGACTACATTAAGCATATAAGAATATCAGAATACCTGTCTCAATTGAAGATACAGGAAGAACAAAGTCGACCAGGTTTTCCAACAGACTAAGAGCCCTGTCAGCTCTCTGCTCAGCCAGGCAGACAAGCTTGCTGTTAAGGACATAATGTATGCTGTCACTTAAGGCATTCTTACTCTGCTGGTACCCAGTAGATACCTTGTCCAATACAACATTAGAGTTCTGTTTGATTGGACAGGCAACACTATCCTTGGCAGTTTCCAAAGTTGATGACACCAGCTCCTTGATGCTTGCTGTTAGCTGTTGTGGAGGAAGCAGAAGGACATTTTTGTTTAAAATACAGACATTTTACTATACTTGTATATGCATCTTAGCTAAATGTGTGCCCACAGTTAAAATAAATACAATTAACAACTTACAGAGCAGTATTAAGAAACCAGTTTTGGATATTTGAAAGCACATTACCTCTTCAGGTGGATACTGCAAGGCTGGTACCTTCTCCTCCAGGTGGTCCAGTCCTCTGCAGGTCAATGAGTTGGCTGCTACAACTACGAATAATATAATTTTCATACAAATGCAGAACGTCAATGTTTTATAACTTGGTTAAACGTCAAAATATATTAACACATTTTTCATTAATGCAAGCATATGCTAATTCATTTGGCAAAACACATGAACAGCTTCTTTCAAAATGTTTCCCCAGCTAATGCTAAGCCTTACTAACTCCTCTAGAATTCATGAGGCTGACCTTTAATTTCTGAAATTACTGCTGAACTGATCTGGAATGTTTTTATTGCCTTGTAAATGTCTTGTTAATGTTCATTATAGAAACAGATCCACTATGTGGATGAAATATTGCATACATTATGTACACTGCCATTCAAAAATGTATAGAAATTCATTTTTTTTAAACGGTTTTCAAAGAAGACTCTTACACTTACCAAGTATACTTTTATTTGATAATTTTTTTTTTTTTTACAATTTAGAATAACTTTTTTTTCTATTTTAATATAGATTCGAGGGCTGTCAAATCGATTAATCACGGTATCGCATCCACAATAAAAGTTTGTTTACAAAAATATATGTGTGAGTATTGTGTATATTTATATGTATATATAAATACACACACATACATGAATATATATATATATATATATATATATATATATAGATATATATATAGATAGATAGATATATACAGTACACACAAATATATTATTCAAACACAAACTTTTATTGTGGATGCGATTAATCACGATTAATTGATTTGACAGCCCTAATATTAAACTATACATTTTTCCTGTGAGGCAAAGTTGAATTTTCAGCAGCCATTACTCTTACGTGTCACATTTTTATATGCTGATTTGATGCCCAGGAAACATTTCTTATTATTTTCAATTCATTTTTGATCAATGTAATGCATCCTTGCTGAATACAAGCATTCATTTCCTTAAAAAAATAAACCAAAAATCTTACGGACCCTAATTGATTTTATTTTTGTGGTCTGTTAAATAAATTTGAGAGGGAAAAAAAAGAGAAAGAAATTAATATATATTATGCAGCACCAGACTGCAAAATATTCAGTCATTAGCTCATTACAAAAAGGAAATCTATACAGGAGAGTCAGAGTGCTAGTAACATGTAATTACGTCTCTCAGCGGATTAGTCTTGTGCAATGTTCAAGTGGGCCCTTGAAGGATACAAATATTTAACATTATTGCTCAATTATTCATCTAATCACAAACACGGTGAGACCAGAGTTCAGTTTTGCAATGCCAGACTATAACCCTGGCTATACTGCATTTCTCAACTTGTATTTGAATTTATGTTACAAATATATTTGTACAAAATACACAGGAGGACAAAAACATGCAAATATTTTCCCGTTGGGGGGGTCATTCAGAATCTGAGGATTCTGAGACAAGAAAAACACTTGCAGAAGAAGATGTAACTGAATAGCACTTCCCTTTTTACTTTTACTTTTTTTTTTACTTTTAGTCATTTAGCAGACACTTTTATCCAAAGCGACTTACAAATAAGAAAAAGTAATTAAAACTAAAAGCTAAAACTCTATAAATACTATATATATATACACATTTAAGAAAATAAAATAAATAAAATAACAATGACAAATGCATACAATCAAATAACAGTAGTTTATCAGTAATCCTAAAAAATAACACTGCCAAACACACATGCTAAAAAAACAACAACTTACTGACACATAGTAAGAAATGGTTTATAAAAAAAAAAAAAAAAACTGAAACAGAAGTGAAACAAGTAGTAGGAAAGAGGAGAAATAAAAAGCGATACTTATTTATTATTATTATTTTTTTTTTTTTTTAGTTAAATAAATTATCTTTTACGGTTATCCATTAATATCAATTAAGATCACTATTACATTTCAATTAAAAGACATGCAGTGCAATAAACAGATCACGTTTTAGGTTTGACATTGACCTGAAAGCACAGCATGTCAGAAGTAATTCATGAGTCATACTGTGTCTAGGGATATGCCGGTATCAAATTTTCATGTTGCGATTAATTGCTAATGCTTTTATCACGGTGTGCGG